GGTTAGGATGGTAAGAAGTTGTTCAGCTTTAGACTTGTTGAGTTTGAGATGTCTGTAAAGTGTCTAAGTGGAGCTACGTAGAAGGCAGGTGGAACTGTGAATGTGGAGTTCTGGAAAGAAATTTGAGACTGCAGTGTAGATTTGAAGTTTACTTGTATCATGTAAGGTCTAGCTGAGACATTCGCTAGAGAGGCTATAGATGGTGAGGTGACTGAGGTTATAATGATAGGGATGTATTGTTTTTATTAACTCTGTTTTAGTCCAAATAGTGAATAAAGTCAGTGACAAAATTTAGTTTAAGCATTAAAGAAATAAAATAGCAGGCCAGGCACAGTGGCTTACTCCTGTAATCCCAGCACTTTGGGAGGCCGAAGCGGGCTAATCACGAGGTCAAGAGATCGAGACCATCCTGGCCAACATGGTGAAACCCTGTCTCTACTTAAAAAAAAAAAAAAAATACCTGGATGTGGTGGCATGCGCCTGTATTCCCAGCTACTTGAGAGGCTGAGGCAGGAGAATTGCTTGAACCCAGGAGGCGGAGGTTGCAGTGAGCCAAGATTGCGCCACTGCATTCCAGTCTGGCGCCTGGCGACAGAGTAAGACTCTGTCACAAAAAAAGAAAGAAAGAAATGGCAAGTAAAAATTCAGTAATATATACTCATAAAAAAACCAAAAAAAGAAAAATCAAACCAGTTTAGGTTTGATTTTTGACATGCCTTCATCTTCCACCACACTCCTTACCCTAGTTCGTTGTGTCTCCTTGCAGATAATTTTAGTCATATGGAAACATATATTATGCATATGGCTTATTTTTTATTATATGTTCCCAATATTGCTTTGGTTAGAAGTGCCTTTTTAGCTGCTTAATAAACATGGTTGACAGGCGACAGGCATGTGGACAAAATGGCTCATTAATTTCTTTCCTTCTCTTGTTCTGTAATGTGTTTTATAGTGCTGTGTTATAGTCTTGTCTGAAAAACATTTCTTCCTTTGCATTTTTACTTTCTTTTACATTTTCTGAAACAATAATATTACTGTTCAAGTAAACATTTCTTGATATTCCTAACTCTTTCCTTGGTTAATAATGCTAATACAGTGTCACATTCTTGTTTGCTTAACATGAACAGACTGTGAACAGACTGATATGAAATTTTATTAAGTGTTAACTGTTTATTAAGACGTCATAAATACTACCCTGGGTGCTAGATGTGCAATAATGAACAAAACAGACCTGATGTTTTTCCTCATGGATTATTACACATGTATAAGAGAGTAATGCCATTATTGTTTGAATCATGTGAAAGTTAAGATTTCGCATCAGTTCTTAAAGGTGAAGTGATTTTGTTCTGTCAGAGTTTAAAGACTTTTTCACCTGTGAGAGGCTCATCTGTCAGTTGCCCGTCCCCGCCTCATCAGTCTGTTTTGACTGAAGCCGCATTCCAAAGTCAGTTCTTTTTACAGGTTCTGAGGGTGGAAAAATAGAAACCCTAGATACTTCTTAGTTGAACCCTAATTCTTTAAAATACATTTAATTTTGAATAAGGCTTTGGTAAAATCACACAGTTCTTCATAATGGTTTAGCATCCTCCTTCCTAGACAGTCCAGCCTACAGTATGGTCTGACTTGATCCTGTCTCTATGGGTGTGCCTGAAATCAAGGTGGATTTCTTTAAAAGAGACCTACCCACAGCATTCCTGACCTGTAAACTCGATGCACATTTGTTAGAAGCTGGGGGTGGGGGGTCTATAATTTCCAGGCATTTTAATGATATGTACAGTTGAGAGTAAATAGTTTAAATAATTTCATAGTTAAGGAGAGTTCTTAAGGCAAAATATTTTCAGATACAGGTTTTTGTTTTTGTTTTTTGAGATGGAGTTTCGCTCTTGTTACCCAGGCTGGAGTGCAATGGCGCGATCTTGGCTCACTGCAACCTCCGCCTCCTGGGTTCAGGCAATTCTCCTGCCTCAGCCTCCTGAGTAGCTGGGATTACAGGCACGTGCCACCATGCCCAGCTAATTTTTTGTATCTTTAGTAGAGATGGGGTTTCACCATTTCGACCAGGATGGTCTCGATCTCTTGACTTCGTGATCCACCTGTCTCGGCCTCCCAAAGTGCTGGGATTATAGGCGTGAGCCACCGCGCCCGGCCCAGATACAGTTTTTAAAGAAATGATCAGAATATTATTTTTCTTGTTTTTTAAATTGCTTTTTATTTTGCTTTTCCCAGCTTAATAACTTCTTTATATTGTTATGTTGTTAATTTTTAAACAATTTTCTGTCTTCAGATATTGGCTCAATTTTAGTTATTCTGTTCTAAGCACATTACAACCTTAGGCCCGCAAAAAAGTTTAAGTATTAAATATTGACACCAAACAACTGCTCCTATGTGGAAGAAATTGATGAAGACCTAAATGAGTTTGTGAATAGTTTTCAGAAGTTCTTATTTAGATCATCAAGTTGAATCAGTGCCAACAGATTCCATCCATCTGCCATGTCTATCTGAATGCCTGTCCTTTGTCACATACAACTGTGTCTTTTCAAACTGTTCTAATTTGTAACACTAAAGCAGCTTTCCAAAACTAAGGTTACCAGGATAGGATATTCTAAAATATCTTTACCCCTTGGAGATATATAACAATTTATTGTATAATTATGTAAATTTTATTAATTTGTTTTTGTTTGTTTATATCATATCTCGGATCAGATCACCTGAGAGGGCAAGAAAGGATCTTTTCATAATGCTTAAGTGAGGAAATCCTCCTGGTAAACTTTGATTAATCATCCTCACTGCAGTTGTTGGGGAGTTAAGATTAAAGTTAACACACAAACTTGTCTAGCAGATTTCTTCTGTAAAGCAAGATTTCCATTAAAATTAACCAAGAAACATAAAGTTTTCTTCTATGAGATCAAAAGTAAAGTAGCTTGGTTTTTGTATATTAAAATCCAAGTATCCCAAGTATATGATAGAATGTTTATTAGGAAGAAAAAAAAAAAGAAGAGAAAAAAAAATCCAGGTATCCCAAAGGTTAAAACAAGGAATAATCTTACAGTGTTTGGGAATGAATACTTAAGATGAAGGGGGACAGAAGGATTCATGACAGTTACTAACGATTTTTCTCCTTGTTTTGGGTTTCACTTTCTTTTTACTTTTAGACAATGCTAGACCACACTTTTTTTTTTTTTTTTTTGAGCTAGGGCCTCATTTTGTCCCCCAGGCTGTAGTGCAGTGGCATGATCATGGCTCACTGCCGCCTCGACCTTCTGAGCTCAGGTGATCCTCCTAGTTCAGTCTCCTGAGTAGCTGGGACTACAGGTATGTGCCACCATGTTAGCTAGTTTTGTTTTGTTGAAGAGACAGGATTTTGCCATGTGTTCAGGCTGGTCTCAAACTCCTAAACTCAAGTGATCTGCCCATCTTGGCCTCCCAAAGTACTAGGATTGCAGGCATGTGCCACTGTGTCTAGCCCAGACAACACTTACATAAACATCTTAGTTTTTTGCCTGATTTACTTGTGTTATCACTACCAGCAAAGGTTAATAAGAACTACGTGTTTGGAATACTATGGCTGGGTGGCTTTAAGAATGTGTGGTAGTAAAACATTTACAAATATTTCACATTCTAAAGCTGAATTTAATTTTGAACTTTTGATCTCTTCATCTGTAAGCTAATATAATACTTTTTGGGGATAGGCTTTCTTTCTTTTGGGAGGCCGAGGCGGGTGGATCACTTGAGGTCAAGAATTCAAGACCAGCCTGGCCAAAAAAAAAAAGTGTGGTCCAGCATTGTCTAAAAGTAAAAAGAAAGTAAAACCCAAAACTGGGGAAAAATCGTTAGTAACTATCATGAATTCTTCTGTCCCCCTTCATCTTAAGTATTCATTCCCAAACACTGTAAGATTATTCCTTGTTGATTTATGTTTCCTACTTTTTTTAGTAGAACAAAAGAAATTATGCTAGCATTTTAGGATCTGTTCGAGAAAATCAAGCTGGGCACGGTGGCTCACGCCTGTAATCCTAGCACTTTGGGAGGCCGAGGTGGGTGGATCACCTGAGGTCAGGGGTTCAAGACCAGCCTGGCCATCATGGTGAAACCCCATCTTTAAAAAAAATAAAAAATTAAAAAAAAATCAAATAATGACAAAAATCAATGTTAGGCAGTCCTTCTTGTTCCCCTTCTTTTACTGTTCATCTGAAGTGCATATAATTTATAAATTATTTTTATTGAAATCAAGTATGCCCTGCTTACCTCTTAGTGTTTCATTTATTTATTTATTTATTTATTTATTTTGTGATGGAGTCTTGCTTTGTTGTCCAGGCTGGAGTGCAGTGGTGTGATCTTGGTTCACTGCAACCTCCACCTCCAGAGTTCAAGTGATTCTCCTGTCTTCGCCTCCCAAGTACCTGGAATTACGAACACACACCACCATGCCCAGCTTTCTTTTCTATTTTTAATAAGGATGGGCTTTCACCATGTTGGCCAGGTTAGTCTCGTACTCCTGACCTCAGGTGAGCCACCGTGCCTGGTCACCTCTTAGTGTTTTATTTGACTATCGCTTACAAAATTCTTTTTTTTTCTTGTTTCCAGTGAGGTTGGAACTTAGAAAATGCTTTTTTTTTTTGACATGGAGTCTTGCTGTGTCACCCAGGTGGGAGTGCAGTGGTGTGATCTCAGCTTACTGCACACTCTGCCTCCCAGGTTCAAGCAGTTCTCCTGCCTCAGCTGGAATTATAGGTACCTTCCACCATGCCTGGCTAATTTTTGTAGTTTTAGTAGAGACAGGGTTTCACCATGTTGGCCAGGCTGGTCTTGAATTCCTGACCTCAAGTGATCTACCTGCCTCGGCCTCCCAAAGTGCTGGGATTACAGGTGTGAGCAACTGCGCCTGGCAGAATTTATAGAATTCTTAAGGTATAATTCAGCAAATCTCTGAGGACCTAGATTTTAGGTAGGAATGTTTTTCTTACCATGATTAAAATAAACATTTTTAACCTCTCTTTTAGATCCATCATGTTACACAAAATGGAGGACTGTATAAAAGACCATTTAATGAAGCTTTTGAAGAAACACCAATGCTGGTTGCTGTGCTCACATATGTGGGGTATGGCGTACTCACCCTCTTTGGATATCTTCGAGATTTCTTGAGGCATTGGAGAATTGAAAAGTGTCACCATGCAACAGAAAGAGAAGAACAAAAGGTAATTGTTAGGGAGGCTTTGGTTTTGTAAATAGAAGCCTTTTATAGAAATCTTTGTATTTTTGCACAAAAGTTTTTTCTTAGAAATTTGGATGTACCTTAAAATTAAAATATTCCAGTTGCAGTTACATGAAAACATTCTACAAAGAAAGCTAAAAACAAGGCTAAAGATATCAAAACATTCAACATGTGTTTAATTTAATCAAGAAGAACCTAAGGAGGTAGGCAACACTATCCCCGTTTTATGGATTAGAAGTCAAAAAGTTGGCTGGGCGTGGTGGCTCACGCCTGTAATCCAAGCACTTTGGAGGCCAAGGCGGGTGGATCACCTGAGGTCAGGAGTTCAAGACCAGCCGGACCAACATGGTGAAACCCCGTCTTTTTTATTTAAAAAAAAAAAAAAAAGAAATCAAAAAGTCAGCCAGGCATGGTGGCTCACGCCTGTAATCCCACCACTTTGGGAGGCTGAGGCAGGTGGATCACAAGGTCAGGAGTTTGAGACCACCAGCCTGACCAACGTGGTGAAACCCTGTCTCTACTAAAGATACAAAGAATTAGCTGAGCATGGTGGCGTGCACCTGTAATCCCAGCTACTCAGGAGACTGAGGCAGGAGAATCATTTGAACCCAGAAGGCAGAAGTTGTAGTGAGCTGAGACCACTGCACTCCAGCCTGGGCAACAGAGCAAGACTATCTGAAAGAAAAAAGAAATTGAAAAGTCACAAGTTAAATAACATTTCCTAAGATGCCTGGTGTCAGAGCTATTGCAAAAAGCCATGTTCTTTCTCTTCATACCACCATGCTGAATCCCAAGTTGTGTTTATAATTTTCTGAAAAGGTTGTACTCTTTGGAATTAATAATGTGTTTTCTCATAGATACATTATACATAGTTGTGTGATTCACATATCAGCTCCTCTCCCCGACAAACAAGCCGTAATACAGAATGTAGCCAAGTGATTCTGTTTACAGTAGAAAACACTCCTATTTTAGGCATGGTTAATAGATGAGAATGATTCTCTCTCAGGAAGAGGGTTCCGTTCACTTCACTTTTCTCTGCATGTTTCTTTGTACTTCTGAAGGGTTTTTGTTTTTTTTAACTTGTTACTGACTTGAAGCTCACTTCTGGAGTTTTATGCAATACATGTGTTACCTAGTCTCAATAAATAAATCAAATGAGGGTTAAAGATGCCTGATTTTACTAAAAACAAAACCTATGTGTTCTTAGCATGTCCAACATGGCAAGAGGTTGTCTTCCAGCCCAGGGAATGTACCAGATTAAAGAAAGACTTAAGACATTCACATTTTCTTGGGGTCCCTCATATTCACTTTTGTGGTACGTCTGAGGAAAGAGGCATGTGTGGGGTCAGCAGAGTCACTGCTGAGATGAGCCAGTGAACACTGATTGTAGAAGAAACAATTTCTCAGGTAATGGAAAGTGTCATGTGGAACTGGGAAGAGTGCATCATGAAAACATTGTCAGTTGCTAGGAAGACAAAACCAGTCAGGATGAAACGTGGATTCTGAAGTGGCTCCTGGGAGATCTCAAGATTAGACATCCTTTTCTCTCATCTCAACCATCTTGCACTCCATCCGAGCCCTACCACAAGTTGGCCATCCTGCTCATTGCCTTGCAAGTTAATTTCACAAAGATGGTAAATAAATTTTTTGAATGCCTAATACAGGCAAAGCCCTGTATTCAGAAGTTGGTCCAATAGGCCTCACTAATTTTTATCTTTTTTTTGAGACGGAGTCTTGCTTTGTCGCCAGGCTGGAGTGCAATGGCGCAATCTCGATTCACTGCAACCTCCACCTCCTGGGTTCAAGTGATTCTTCCGCCTCAGCCTCCCGAGTAGCTGGGACCACAGGTGTCTCCCATGCCCGGCTAATTTTTTTGTATTTTTAGTAGAGATGGGGTTTTACTGTGTTGGCCAGGATGGTCTCGATCTCTTGACCTTGTGATCCGCCCGCCTCCCCCTCTTTTTTTTTTTTTTTTTTTAAGACAACAGTCTCACTCTGTTGTCCAGGCTGGAGTACACTGTCATGATCTCGGCTTACTGCAACCTCTGCCTCCCACGTCCAAGCAATTCTCAAGCCTCAGCCTTCTAAGTAGCAGGGATTACAGGTATGTGCCACCATGCCCCAGATACTTTTTGTATTTTTAGTAGAAACAGGGTTTCATCATATTGACCAGGCTGGTCTCGAACTCCTGACCTCAAATGATTAATCCACCTCAGCCTCCTAAAGTGCTGGTATTACAGATGTGAGCCACTGCGCCCGGCCCACATTTTTAGCATTTTTTGATCCTCCTCCTACCCTGAGCATGTCCACCCAGAATGCATCTACAATACATTAATTTTGTATAGCCCTCAGTGACAGCTTACCATACTCTTCTTAGGTTGTACGGTAGTGCAGTTACTTGTTCATGGGCCCATATCCTCCTACTAGACTGAGTTGATGGTAGTTACCACTGATTGTAGCTGAAGTTTTATTTATATATTCAAACTAAAAACTATCTGCAAGGACCTCTCCTAGTGTAGACACATAGTTGAAACTTAATAATTGACATGTATAGCTGGTTGTGAGGGAAGTGCTGATTGCGGTGTAGACCGCACATTCCTGGATGAAGGGCTAGTATGGGCAAAGGCATGAAGAATGTTTGGGAAAATCTGGAATGTGTATAGAAAAGGAATTGTGTTTTGAAAGTCAGAGAAAGAAGTTTGGTAGGCAATGAGGAGTAGGTTTTTTATTTTTTGTTTTTAAATAGCGACAGCATCTCGCTGTGTTGCCCAGGCTGGTCTCAAACTCCTGTGCTCAAGCAATCCTCCTGCCTTAGCTTCCCAAAATGTTGGGATTACAGGACTGAGGCACCATGCCCCTAGGGGCAGTTTTCATCAGGGGATTGTCCATAGAGAGCTTGCACAGCTGATACTCAAAGTGTGAGGAATGAATGAAACCAAAAAGATACATCTGAATTACTTTGTTAGTGAGTACATTATCTTTGGAACTTGTTTCATGTTACAGAAAGTAAATTGGTGGTTTAAGTGTTGAGAGTTGCCTGTGTATACTTCCTGTGAAAGAATTAGAACACACATTTTATTCTTAAGTAGTTCCTCATTTTGTTGAGGAAACATAAACATTTGAAAGTTATGGGCCTTGCAAAGCCATTATACATGTAAATAACATTTAAATTATATGAAGATGTAGAATTTAAAAAACTATCTGAGTAGCATAGGGTTAATCAGGAAACAATTCTTGGAAGAAGTAATACAAGGAAATGTGGGGGACTGAGGAAAGCTTTTGCCTCTGCAGTTTGTGGAGAAGATTGTATTAAATTATTCAAATTCATTTCAATGGAGTATTCCTAGTAGATAACATTAGTAAAACAGCCAAATTCTGTCATTTTCTTATAAAAATTCAGCTTTTATGGGGAAAGGAAAAGTCACTCAATCTTATGATAGATCATGTTTGTTTTCTATTGCTGGATCAGATATGTGAAAGAGGGAGGCACACTGTTAAACCAGAAGGAGGAGGGAAAGTGCTTGCTTGGGATCATAAAATGCAAATAAAATGTTGTTACTTCCTCATTTCACTGAGAGAGTGATATCCATAACCACATCCTGGTTTTCTTCCTCATTTTATTATAAAAGAGAGCCCAGTTTTAACTATGTTAATTATTTGTTATAGGGAAATACCGGACGTTGCTTCGAATAGAACTAAGTCACATGGTTATACTAATAAAGATGAGTTACTATGAGTTTATTCTATTTTATATAAATTGCATAAAATTCTTGGAATTCTTTACCCCCCCCAATCCTCTGCTATTAGTGGTGTTTTGGATGAGAATGTTGTTTTTCCCAGTCTGTGGTTTATTTCTTCCTGATGGGAGGTGAAGCTAGTAGTCCAGAAACATGTACGTGACAGATATAGCAAAAGCTTGAATTAATAAAAACGTTCTAGGCTGAGGCAGGAAAATCACTCAAGGCCAGGAATTTGAGGCCAGCTGACACAACATAATGAAACTTCGTCTCTACAAAGTGAAAAATTTTAAGAAAAAAATGTTCTAATGTTTATATAGGTAATAGCTAGGAACGTAAAGAGTAAATTATATGGTAGGTAGTTCCACACACTCACTAAATTTTAAACTAACATTTTGCCTCCACAGCTCATTCATGATCAGATATTTTCAAATGGGAGGACCAAATACCACATGTTCTCCCTTATTTTATTTATTTTTTTGAGACAGAGTCTCACTCTGTTGCCCAGGCTTCTGGGTCTGGCTCCTTTCACTCGGTGTAATGTCTTTGAAGTTCACCCATGTTATAGCATGTATCGGTACTTCATTGCTTCTTATTGCTGAATAATATTTCATCATATGGTGTAGTCATCTCTGTTTACTCTAGGGATTTCTCACTGGTAAGAAATTATACTCAGACCTTTCAAAGAAGTTTTGTAGTAGGTTTACCACTGTGTCCGTTTGGACTAGTGCCATATTAGGTTTGCAAGAGTTTCCCTGTTACCTGTTTTCCTTGTTTTTCATGCCAGGAAAGCTTTTCCTTCAGATAGTCCCATGGCTAGTACCTTCACTTCCATTTTGTCCTCTTTTCTACTCAGGGCACACCAGCTGATTTGCAGCATGACTCCCCCTTTCCTGCTTGCTTTCATTTCCATTAGTATTTGTCACTGTCTGACATACTTTGTTTGCTTTTATTTTTATTTTCTTGAGGCAGAGTCTTGCTCTGTTGCCCAGGCTGGGGTGCAGTGGTGCAATCTTGGCTTACTGCAACTCTGTCTCCCAGGTTCAAGCGATTCTCCTACCTCAGCCTCCAGAAGAGCTGGGACTAAGGACATGCGCAGCCACACCTAATTTTTTTTTAAATGTTTTTAGTAGAGATATGGTTTTGCCATGTTGGCCAGGCTGGTCTTGAATCCTGGGCTCATGTGATCTGCCTACCTCAGCCTTGCAAAGTGCTGGGATTACAAGTGTGATCCACTGAGCCCAGT